ATTGGAGCTTTTTGAGGGATGGACTCTGTAAGCTAGTTTGACCCTAAGCTAAATTTGTATTTTCTGGTTTATAAAGATTATTATGATAGTTTACAGCAAATATTGACCCAGAGTTGAAGGAATATATATTGTCCATTAGCAATGCTTCATTAGTGCCAATTGTTCCATGAATAATTCATGAACAAAGGAACATTCCTCACAGTTGTATTTTCTTTTTGAGGAGTAAGAATGTATTTTTTGAATTTTTGGGGGGGGGGGCGGTCTTTTTGAGACAGGGTCTCCCTGAAGCCCAACTGGCCTGGAACTAGCTATGTAAAACAGCCAGGCCTTGATCTCATGGAAGGCCACCTGCCTCTGCATCCTGAGTGCTGGGAATAAAGGCATGCACCACCATGCCCTGCCTGTAGGAATGCATTTTAGTGTGATGTATCCATTTTCAAATTTCTACTACAGTTAAGGAAAGGGAGAATTCTGATTATTAGAAACCAATCATTTCCAGTGGCTCAGGGAGGAGACTAATCTATCAAGTACATTAATTTCATGCTGAATATGCAGAATGGTTAGATGTTTTCAGTATTACATGATGTGATAAAAACAGTAAATATTAGAGAAAAGTTAAAATTAATCTTACAAGATTTGTGACTTTAACATTACACTATCCTGTTACATTGTAGTCTAGGTCTTTGAAAATGGCAGATAGTGATAAAGATTGAAGACATTCTGTGGCAAACCAGAGTATTAATGATGAAAAAGAAATGAGCTACTACGTAAGACATTATTCTACATTATTATATTTACTCAAAAATGTATATTGATATGGGTAGGTAGAACCATATCTTCATGAAACTTAGTTGTATTCCCAGTACTGTATCTTTCTGAAGACTACACTATTAGTTTAATATGGAAATAAATTCAATCTATTTTGCTTTAAAGGGATCAAGTGACATTTGTTTGTAATATTCGCCTCAAGAGAGTTGCTGAATTCATGGTATATCCTCAAGGCATCATTAGTATTAGCTGTACTATGAATTATTAATGCCTCATCCCAAATTCATGGATGAAATCAAATGGTTCTTTAGCTTCTTTTTTTTTTTTTATTGAGTAGCACTAAGAATGCCCTTCAGTGTAAAGTAGGATTGCTCATCTTCATTCCTCTGCTAATTCAAAACACTCAATGCTGAATACCTGAAATGAAGTAGATTTTGAGCTGATCACTAATGAGATGAATACATGGCAAATTCATTGAATTGTGAATAAATATTTCAGTAGGTACTGTTGCAATTGATTAATACAACTTATGTGCAAAAACTAAATGAAGACAGAAAAGGGAAAAATAATTTGCAAAATGTTACAAATACATTTGTATGTTCATCATCAATATATTAAAATTTTAGTGTTGCTTTTTGGAAATGGTGTGTAATGGCATCCAAGTTGTCTATTAATTTAAACAAATCCTGTTTCTTTAGTTTTTTTAATCTGCATTTTGATATGACTGCTTTGAATTCATTTTAAAACAATTTCAAAACTGCATATAACTTGATTTGTTTTAATAAGCAAAACATATATTTAATGATATAATATGGAAGTTGTATGAAAAATATTATCTTCTCCAAATAGAAACTCTCACACCTTATTTCAGCTGATGATGAGTGAAGGCTAATACAAGGATATCCTTTCAAATTTGGATAAGTCAGTGGATTGTTCTTTTTCCAGGGATCTGTTCCTCAGGGATTTATTGTCAAGTAATTTGCATGATCTCTTTATTAGAGATTTATGTTGTATTAGAAAAATTATGATAAATATAATGCAAATTACCTGGCAATATCATTGTAATCCTAATTTATGAATACCGATATATTTTAAAATAGTCACTTTTTTTCTTTTACCTCACGACCACTTTGTGGGACAACTGACCACATGGATTTGGATTTTCCTTTACATTGAAAGAAAGGAGCAAACATGGGAGACTCTGGATAAAATTTAGGAATCAGATAACATAAATGCGTGCTTGCATGTATATGCGCCTTCTAAAATGTAATAAAGCAGATGATCACAGACATGAATTCACAAAGGTTTTGTATGACAGAAATTCCTCTGTTGGGACAAAATGCCTGAACTATGAAGTAAAGTGAAAAGGCTCTTTTTCTCACTGTTCCAATGTTTTTGATCCATATATATTTGTTTCTATTTGATATGGCTTACGGAGAAACAAATGTCGGGTTCTAGTAACGTTGTGCCAGACGGGAGCATTCTCATCCTGAAGGAAAGAGAGAGAAGGAGGAACAAGATTGCGATAGAAATAAAGAAGGTCTTTCCTAAGCAGAAACAAATCATGTGCTTCAATGTCATACATCAGTGACCCACTTCCTCCCATCATGGCTGAATGGAGGAACAGCCATGAAGTCATGGTTCCATCCCTTATGATCCAATCATCTTTCCATAAATCAGTTTCTGAATCCTGATGTCCACATCACAAATATTGAACACATGAGATTCTGGGCGTCCTTTTTGTACCCATACCCAAAGATTCATGTCTTACGAGACAATGAAACATTGAAAATGATGAAAAGTGAATTGTTTGGTCTACTATCCATGGAATACCATCTCAAATGTTTCATACCTCAGGCTCTGATTGTAGTGCTAGATGCCTAGAATTCGAGGCCCTTATATTGATTCTGCACAGTACCTAAAATGTCACATATCTCAATGTTTCTGAATCCCCCTATGCAGTTCTTATGTGGTTTACTTACATATTATACAGGTGAGAAATAGGACATATTTTCATGAGAAAATTATGTAGCTCTTTGACAATATCTGTGAGTTTAAATGACTTCATGTAGTGGAAGAGTACTCAGGACTGAACTTGGAAATATTAACTACTCTATAGAGAGCATACTAATGCAAACATTCTTAAAAGAAATGCTCAGTGTTCTCATCAGTGAAATAAAATTTAATTTTTTAAGTTATAATTTTTAAGGGATATCATGAAGATTATTTATTTTTCCAGGGTTACATATTGTTTTGATTGTTTCAATTCCTGACTTTGTACAGTTTTTCATTCTTCCTTTTCGCCCCTAGCTCCTTGGGCATTATGCCATTATACCATCTCTGCATTTATATGTCTAGATTTTCAACTATTTATGATTGAAGATTCTCTTGAATGCTTTGGAGTGTCCACTGATGTTTTATGAATTCACCACTCTGACCATGTCACTGACATACCTTGAATCAGATTCAGTGTTCTAGTAAATTAAGTCAGAATGTTAGATCCTTAGAAAATTGCCAAGGTGTAACATCTGGTCACAGTGCCATTCCTAAGCACCCATTGTATTAAACTGTGAGGACTGTATTTATAATGTGAGGTGAAAATACGAATTGAATTCTTGTTAACCATATACAGTTATTCCGGGAAATATAGAGAGATTCATATGAGGGTAAATGTGATACAAATTAAAATGGTGTTTTGAGACTGTCTTCACTTCCTGAATCTCTGAGAAATAAGACTCTGTCAGAGAAACTGAGTTATCCCTAGGCAGTAGTGTAGAACAGGCCCAGATTGAAGACTTATATTGTATTTTTCTATTACTATAAGAAGACAAGATACTTGTTTGATGTATAGGTTTTTAAAGAAGAGACTGGCTTCAAAAGGTCAAGCTTGTGCTTTGTTCTAATACAATCAGTCTTGGGAGCTGAACACAAACCACTGCTGAGTTATGTTTGATGTGCTATAGATAGTAGGACCCACGGGTCACAGGGAGCTCTCTCCTTTTTGCTCTTCCCCTTGGACACATGTCCACAGGAGACAGGAGATCTCACTCTACTGCTTATCCTACTGACTGCCTGAATCCTGCTCTTTGATTTCTGTAGTAGACATTTCAAAGGTGCTGAAAAAAAAAAATAGCTCGTCCCAGACATATATTTGACTAGTTGTACCACCCAGATTTTAATTTGGAAATCTTGATCTTACAAATACTTGAGTAACTCAACTGTCCTTACTGGCCCTTTACTAATAGTTCAGGGATTAGCAAATACATTTTCTCAGTCGTAGTAAGTGACACACACCTAAGAGCAGCTTTTGCTCTCAGATGCAATATTGTTGACACTGAAATATAACATGCATCTCATGTGTAGGTATTCAGTTTCACTGTGAGTACCTAGGAGAACAGAGTTACTAAAGTCATATGTCTATCAGAGTATTTTCCATTCCAATTCCTGATATCACTGCATTTAGTTTTCTCCTTCTCTATGTAAAAAATCAGGGTGTACAAAATTTTTATTTTAATTCCTTCTTCTTATACAGTCAAATATTGTGATCAGCATATTTTATACAATATATATTATATATGTTGTATATATTTAATCATACTTTCCTATTTGCACCATCATACTCTTATGCCTCACATTACTCCAGATACTACCATTGTCCCAATTTTTGCTATTGACATATATACATTCATATATGTGCATACATGGTTAACTTACTAATTTCACCTTTTTATACAGATGTGAGGAATTCCAACTGTGTGAGTGTTGAACAAATTTCAGAAATGCATACACAGATGAGATCTGCCAAAGTAAACCAAACAAATGAGGATGGCTTATCTGTGAAACAAGCTGATACGTGAAAAAAATAAATAAATAAACCTTGCAGATCAATGGAGCTAAAATTCCTGAAAAAGAGCAACGAACACAAGAATCTGCTGAGGCTGATATAACACTAGACTGGTTTATGCTCTCAGGCCTAGAGTCTGGAAAGTATTAGATAAAGCCAGCAGTAAATTCTCTGTGCTTTGAGTTTCCTGATACTTATTTGTTCCATTCACACATGGCTGAAATGGCAAGGACATGCTTTCCAATTCCCTTAAAAATGGCTAACTACATTCTTGACTTTGGAACCTCCTGACTTACTCATATCACATAAAGCCACACATACTGATAACATGACACTATGAAGAATCCCAAATGAGGATCCTTCCTCCCCCAGGAGGAGGAGGTAGGGTTCCTATCATTTCAAAGTGTGGGCTGGGCTTAACAATTTGCTTCCAAGAGCACTGGGAAAAACAATGATGTGACGCTGGGGGGAAGGGCTACAAACCAAAGGACAGGGTCTTTCACAATAGGGGCAATTCATGTGACACTCTGTGACCCTGAGAGAATGCAGAGAAAGGCATTTATTTACCTTTTTGGTATTCTTCCACCTAAACTCAGAAAGCCATCTAATCTTGAGAAACACATCAGACAAAACCAAAACGGGGGACTCTACAAAAATCCTTCTCAGCACCATCAAGGAGTTGAAAGAAAGGCTTCAGGGCACCTGAGAAAACATAACTAAATGGCTCTTGAAATAGTAAAAAGACCTTTATGGAAAATACAGTGAAATCAGAACAAAGTCCGCAGTTTATTCAAGCATCAGTGGGAATTCTTAGTTTGACATGGTTGTGTAAAACGTTTATCACTAGGGAATGCTGAGGGTTATATGGCACAATTTCACATTTTTTCTATAAATCAAAAGTTATTCTCAATTGTAAAGTTCTTTGTGTCTTTTTAAAATACAAAGGAAACAGGTTCTTTTTCCCCAGTAGCCCAGCTGGTCTGGAACTCACAGAGATCCACCTGCCTGCGCCTCCAGAATGCTGGGATTAAAGGTGTGTGGTACCACGCCCGGCAGGAAATACATTTTAAGTGTACCACAAGCGAGTGTAATGCTGGTGGAAGTCAGAAGAGTGCATCCGATTCTGTGGAACTGGAGTTAAGGATGGCTGTTAGCCAGCATGTGGATGTGGGGATCTGAGCCCCAGTCCTCTGCAGGAGCAGCCAGTGCTCTTAACTGCTGAGCCACCTTTCCCACCCCAACACAGATTCTCTTTAAACAGGAGGAACAAAGCACAACTACGTGCAATGTGCAGACCTTGTTTACATTCCATGCTGGAACACACTACTAAAAAAGCCTGCTTGAGACAATCGGACTGTTCGATAATAAGGGACTGCTAATTTTGTTGGGTGTGATAATCCTTGCCTGTTAGGAATAAATATTGAAGTACAATACTCCCACTGCCGCAATGTTTGGATTAAAATACTCTCAAAAATCAAGTGGATGCAGGAGACACACAGAACAAGATCAGCACAAAGCTGATGACTGCTGATTAGTGAAGGCTGCACAGAGTTTACACGATGTTCCGTTAGCTCCTGTTTGATAAAAAACGAAAATAGAACAAAACCAAAAATACTGTGTGGACTAATGCTTAAGCATTCAGACAAGAATCCAAGGCTAGCTGAACACCATAAACAGGAAATTTACCTAGAGGTTGTCTAATGTATAAAAGTGGCAAATCCCCCTTCCCCTGTTAATTAATAAATACTGAGGATGACTCAGAAGCCAAAAGTGATTAAAAAGGGGGAGGGGGCTGGGTATGAGAATTCTGCCACTTATGTCCTATTTCTAAAGAAAAGTCTCTGACAGGAGGTAATTTTCTGGCTCAACGAGACGGGCTGTGATTTGGGTGGACGGCTAAGCGCTGGGCTCTCCTAGTACCCTTAAATGCCTGGACGGCCGGCCTGATCTGTGCAGATACAGTGGACAAGGTACCTACCTCTACTCGGGCAGCAGCTAGCGCCTATCTCACGGATTCCATGCTCCTCTTCCTTTTGGATAGTGCAGTTTGGGCCTGGAGATCATGATGACTTTCCAGCCCTTCTTAAAAAAAAAAAAAAAAAAAAAAGCAGCACTGAGCGCCTTGCACACCCAGGGTCTTAACGTTATAGCCTCAACCCCGGGCTCCGAGCCTTAGGTGATATGCAGGACTTTGGTACGGCAAAGGGTTTTATTGCTGCATTTTCCCTCACTCCATACAAACACGCCACCATTTTAAACATGAAAGAAACCGCAGAAGATCAGCTTTGCCTTATGGTTTCTTATTCTCGGGGGGAAGCAAGGGCAATTTGTTGTAAACACACTTATTATTCCTGAAGTGCAGTACTCCACAGTTCTGCACAGTGTTACAATATTTTTTTAACCTTAGGAATCTTGGGATTTTCCAAATTTAGCTTGGAGGGAGAGTGCTGTCCCAGAGTGCGCACCTAGGGCCTATCCTAGTCATCTAACGGCTGGACCAGACACTGCGCGACCGCACGTCGGTGGCTTCCCGAGCCTGGCAGGACCAGCGAAAGGCGCCCTGGGGCCATCCCGCCGGGCCTGGAGGCTTTCTAGGCCCGCCTTCCACCTATGAAATGAAAAAGAGCACGCACGGAGCCGAGTGGACCCCGCCGCCGGCACCCGGCGGGACAGACTGGGCGGGAGTGCAGAGGCCAGGGGAGGGAGAAAGGGAGGAGGAGGGCGGCAGGCCGGGCAGGAGGGCGGCTCCCAGAGCCCAGAGCGCTCGCCGCACGATGCGCCGGCGAAAACGGGAGGGCGGGGCCTCTGAAGAGCTCACCAATCCAGGCGACTATGTTTATTAGCAGACCCCACCTACTTGCAAAGCATTCTGAGTAACGTGAAAATAACGAGAATTTAAGTCATTTTCGCTTCATGGGAGCAGAAACACCTTTTCGCACTAGTAAATATTGACTTTAGTTACAATATCTTGTTAAAAATTAATTAGAAAATTTTATAAATAAACTCGACCTATGTTTTAAGTAATAGGTTTACAGCCCTTTATATAGTCTACGTGATTCCATGCTTCCTCGGATGTGAGGGCGATCTGGCTGCGACATCTGTCACCCCATTGATCGCCAGGGTTGATTCGGCTGATCTGGCTGGCTAGGCGGGTGTCCCCTTCCTCCCTCAACGCTCAACGTGCGTCCCTCCCGAAGCTGCGCGCTCGGTCGAAGAGGACGACCTTCCCCGATAGAGGAGGACCGGTCTTCGGTCAAGGGTATACGAGTAGCTGCGCTCCCCTGCTAGAACCTCCAAACAAGCTCTCAAGGTCCATTTGTAGGAGAACGTAGGGTAGTCAAGCTTCCAAGACTCCAGACACATCCAAATGAGGCACTGCACGTGGCAGTCTGCCCTCCTTTTAACGAAAAACAAAAGATGATTTTTGTTTTTTAATTTAAATAACTCAAAAAATCAGTTTTTCACTTTATTTATCCTTACACGATTATTTGAACACCCTTACAACAAATTTCCAGACTTCTCCCTTTTCTACTTATTATTATGAATATTTGCTTTATAATCAAATGGACCTGTATTGACATTATTCAGAGTCACCTTATCACTGTCTTTAATGATTTACATGAAAAGGTCAATTACACGAACATACAGTACATTTGGTTGGAAAAAAAAACAGATAAAGTGAACACATGCTTAAACGATAGAAAACAGTATGTCAAATGTTTCTTTTTAAACATACTGCTTTTGGTCATACACTGAGTTCAAACAGCCTGTGTTCCTCTTTCTTCCCCTCTCCTAAACGGCACAAGAAATGGGTTAATGGGAATGTGACTTCATAGGAAAGCATGGTACCGATTAATTCCATTATGTTTTCAATTGAAAATGAAACAATTCTTAATTTGTTTGACATACATTGCCTTCATGTATTCAGGTCAGGTTTGCAAAATTCTAGGTTATAGTGCCACTGATTTTAGATGCAATGTCTGCAACACTGTTTTAACATCAATTTGCTATGTTGGGTAATTAATGGGATGTACTGTGAAGAACACAGTACCAATAGCAAGCAGCTTTCCTTTCCTGCTTGCTCTATGTGAGGCAAACCTGTGCCCCTCAGCACACCCCTGCCACAAGTCAGGACAGAATGAGCCACTCTGCCTAATTTTCTGACTTCCCAGAAAGCTTTGTAATTGTACTTGAGGTATAGTCATGGCGCAGCACAGTTCGATGCATCACCCCTGTGTCTTGCTTTTCATTCTATGACTCTGTACTAAAACCAGGTAACATTTTATTTTCACTTCTGGAATACACAGCTCGAATACACAATTTTCTCTTCTCCTCCCCCATTTAATGGGGGAAAGTGCTTCTAAGGAGTTTGCTCTTTCTGTAGCAACTTTTTCAGTCTTGTAGTTTTCTCAGCTGCTAATCAGCTGCTTTAGTGTAAACAACTATGTTCCAACTTCCCAAGGGAAGCTGTTTGTTAGTAAATAAAGGAAAGGGTACCTAGAGGAAAAGGAAGTATTCTTTAAAGGTAGGTCCTACAAAAGCATCAGGAAACAATCTGACAATGTCTAATAACCAAATAAGGTATTTTTCAATTAAAACCATGTAATGACCTTAGTTAACACTAGCTATAGAAATATGCTAATGATTCATTTGTATCTTTATGCAGTATCTACAATTTAAAGCCAACTTTCCAGCAAGCTGAGCAAGATTTGAGCTTAATTTATTTTTATACATAATACAGAAAGAGAAAATAAATATTAACCTCACAGTAAAGGACTCATTTCTAAAAACTAATTTTGTTGGTCTCCATAATATGCGTTCAGGATATAATACAGAAAAGCATTCAGTTTCAAGTTGTGCTTACATATATAATTTCAGAAGTTTTGCTGCCAGCTTGTTAACATGAAAATGTTCCCTATGAAATGTGTCCATCATGTGCTTATCTCATGCCCCTCAGAGTCATCGTGCTTGGTCAAGTATGCCTTTGAGTCAGGTTCTCCAAAGCATAAAATACTCCCTGATGTTAGGGTAGAGCCTTTGGAAAGTCATAGTAATTTGTTTAGGCTGCGACACATTACTGATACACCAAAGCAATCATTTACCAACTTACTAACTTGGACCACAAGAAAAGATATTCACCCTAACCTACCATTTCAACTTATAAAAATGATCATTTCTAATGGTTTGCTTTGCTGTATTCTGGAACCTGTAACCAAAAGGGAAGTAGTCTGAGCCAGGAAAAATGTGAGTCAATTAACTATTGTACTGTTGCACTCACTGTGGCTACTGTCCCTTTTGCCTTTAAGGTAAGCATGAGTGCAGACAGATGTGCACTACAGATGCAGAGCGGACCTTCTCTCTTTCCTTGTCTGCAGACTAGCTTTGTTACCGGCAAAATTGCTGTAAACATTTCTCTCAATGGAACAGCCTTGAAAGAAACCACCCAGGGTAGGATTCCGATGTGGCACACGAGAGACATAACATCGTGGTGACCGTGACTTCCTACATAAGTGGGAAACGTCCCCTATCTTTCTGTTCTTAAAATTGTCCTGAGAGTTTGGCTAGGAGAGATTATGAGGGGTTCCTAGCGAAGAACTGAGCTGAATACACCACTCACTCTGTTACAAAAAGATCTTCGAATGCCTTGAAACTTGATTTGTTTTTTGTTTTTTCATCTTGACAAAGGTTTAACAACCTGTTATTAAGAAGTGTTGAGCCCAGTGGAGTAACATAGGCCTTTAATCCCAGTGCTTGGGAGGGCAGAGGCAGGTGGATCTCTGTGAGTTCAAGGCCAACCTGGTCTACATAGCGAGCTCCAGGCCAGCTGGGGCTACAGGGAGACCCCGTCTCAAAAAACACTGAAAAGGGGAAAAAAAGAAAGGAGACGTTTTGACATTCAAAACAATTTAAAGGGTTAGAGATATGGGTCAGTGGTTCAGAGCAGTGGCAACTCTTTCAGAGGACCTGGGTCTGGTTCCCAGCGCCGACACGGTGGCTAACAATCACCCTTAACTCCAGTTCAACAAGTTCTGACACACTCTTCTGTCCTCCACAGGCACTGCATGACATGGGTACACTTACATACATGTAGGCGAAACACTCATACACATAAAATAAAAATAATCATTTATAAATTAAAATTTTTTTATAAAGGAACATGAAAAAGCTCCCCTTATATTGGTGCAATTTGATTTTTTTTTCGGTCTTTTTTGAGACAGGGTCTCCCAGTAGCCCCAGCTGTCCTGGAACTCGCTATTTAGACCAGGCTGGCCTTGAACTCACAGAGATCCACCTGCCTTTGCCTCCAAAGTGCTGGGATTAAAGGCATGTGCCACCATGCCTGGCCCACAATTTAATTGTTTTAAAAAAATATTTTGTTTCTCTCTCTCTGTGTGTGTGTGTGTGTGTGTGTGTGTGTGTGTGTGT